GGGGGGGTGTAAATATGTTACATTTATAGTATGAGTTGTAGCCTACACATGCGAAATATTCCCATGACTTGTAAACTATATTATCTAAACGCATCTTAATCTACCACACAATAGGACACTGACCAACACTGGATATACACAGAGACGATCTTATTTTCTATTACAAAGTATGCATGCTTTTACTAGTAGAGAACTGGATTTATTAACACTTTTATGAAAAATTGATCCAGAGCATTGCTTGGCTAGGAGGAACCTCTTATGTTGCCAAGTTCCATTCAAATATCATGACTTTGGGAGAAGATATGACTGATTATAATCTTTGTAAATCTGTAAAGAACGCCACTTTTTTACCTGTTAATGTCTTTACAACTCAAAAAGTATGACAGATATTAAAAATTTGACAGCATGACTAGATTCTGCATTAAAAACTGTACTAGACTGCCAAGTTTCATTTACATACTCCAAAAAATAGGCGAGCTATGACAAATTTTGTCTCAAAAACGCACAGAAAACCGCCACATTTTTACCTTATAAACGTCTTCATAACTCAAAAAGTAGGATAGCTATGAAAATTCTGAAAGCAGGATTAGATTCTGCACTAGAAAATGTACTGGGTTGCCAAGTTTCATTTAAATCATAATAATGAGCGAGTTATGACGAATATTGTCTCAAAACTCATCAAAGAACGTCCCATATTTTGGGGTTTTTTCATTATATAAAAGTGTACCAAAAATTAATTGATTAAAAAATTCGTTACTTTTTTGTGGAGATAGAGCTACAAAATGCACCTAGATCTATTTGCAAACACTTTCTGACAAATAAACGTTTTTCGTGGTCATTGCTAAATAAACTATCCGTCGTGTCAAAGATCAGCCACTATCGTGAATGTGATCACGTACACGTTGAAAAACTCGATGAAGCGATACAATGTTTGCCCCAGACGGGATCACATCGGGGTGTGAACTGACCGACACGTTTGTTTCCCCCAAACATCGCACTCGCACCTGAGCTCTCCCCTTAAACTTACATCACTCGCTGGGTGGGATCACATTGAACTGTGAACTCTTCCCTGACCATTGCAGAAGTTGTCTCTACTCCCGATTTTGCGAAACAGACTGGGGGGGGGGGCTCGGTCAGAGATGGAAAGCTATACATTTTCGACAGGTAAGGGGGAGGGGCAACTGGATAAGCGTAGAATTTGAGACTCATGATAGGATAATAAGTGAAAATGGCACGTCTCATGCCACTATACACTGTGATAGGTCATCAAGGTTAACCACTCTTTGCTCGCCATACGTCATAAACCCACCCAGTGGTCACGTCAGTTCATTTTAGAGTGGAGGGAGACCATTTTAACGATTGTGAGCCTTAGCATGGGTCACCATAGATTCTTCCCTGGGTTCGTCGGTTAAGATCCCGGTTCGCCTAAGATCCCGTATTTCCTTGATCCCGAGCACCGGGATCTTAGGCGGAGACTACTGTAGCAGCTTTGTCATTGTCAAGTATTGTCTCAAGGAAGTGTGGCTATTCTCACCCGGGGTGAGAATAGAAATACGATCGACCTCTTACCCCGGGTGAGACTTGCCACCGTAGGCTATTCTCACCCGGTGTGAAACAAGACCTGTTTTTCCTAATTTCGGAATACTTTCTATCGATGTGGATGATCAAATGATAAAGGCAAAGAAAAGATTACGTTATAGCACAAAAGTAAGCTAATTTTATGGACTACAAAGATGCTATGGCTATTTCACTTTTCGAATCGAGCCGAACTACGGGGGTCGCCATTTTGTTTTGCCTGGAAGTTCTCGCAAGATCTACTCCTCCCCTCTTCTCTCTCTCTATCTCTTTCTGAATACTGTCATTCAGTAAGGACGATCAAATTGACCAAAACAAAGTTTTAAAATGATGTTAAAACACAAAAGTAAATTAATTAGGTCGTCTACAAAGATGCTACGGCTATTTAACTTTTCAAATCGAGCAGAACTACGCGGGTCGCCATTTTATTTTGCCCGGAAGTTCTCGCGCTACTCCTCTCTCTCTCTCTTTTTCTCTCTCTCTCCACTGCCCTCAGACAAATAAATTGTACGCTTTTTAGTAGGCTAACAGTAGTAATGGAACGTTTGTTCACGGCACAGAATTCTACAATTTTTCTGTTATCACAGTGAAGAATTCTGTCGTTTAGGGTGAACGCAAAATTGGTTGGCCTAAATCTAGGCTATAACGGTGAACGTGCACCGGGTGAGAATAGCCAAAAGACTCGCCTGCACTATTCTCACCCGGGGTGAGAATAGAGGTGGCGGCTGGATCCAAGCAGATCGGGTCAGCGGGGCCGAAGGCCCCATCGCGGCCGATGAATGCGCGGGGATTTCAGGATTATATTACGGCTATAAATGGAAGGGATGGCTCCCTCTATAGAACGCATTGGTCAAAAAAGACAAAAACGGGCGTTTTGGGGTTTCTAGACTTAAAAAATGAATTGAGCGACCCCACAAAGTGCTAAAGTGTAACTTTAGCTGTTCGGGAAATTGAAATGAGAACTTGAAATGCTCGTTAAGGATTGCAAAAACATTTACGGATTGGGTCGGAACTACTTTTTGCTCCCTAAATTTAGCTGACTTGGGAACTCCCTCCGGAACTACTTCTGGACAAATCTATTCTGTAACTGTAATAGGAGGACTTCCGTAACGAGCGACCACTATATGAGACAGAGCAGAATTGAGGGCTGGGGATAGGGGCAGATCTAGGGGTAGGGGTAGGGGTAGGGGTATTGAGGGCTAGGGGTAGGGGCAGGTCTAGGGGTAGGGGTAGGGGTAGGGGTAGGGTTTGGATAGGGTTAGGGGTCGACCAGTATGAGACAGAGCAGAATTGAGGGCTAGGGGTACGGGTAGTATAGGGTTAGGGTTAGGCCTCTTTTTTATTGTGTTTGATGGGGTGGTCACTCGTTACGGAAGTCCTTAATTACAGTGGAAGGTAAGATATGAGATATTTCAATGAGATGTACGATGGTTGACAGGTCGGGGTAGTTGTCATTCGAATAACCGTGAGTAAAATACTAACTGTACACATTATTTCACTAAATGAGCTATTATAATGACTAGGGGCCCTCCGGGGAGTATTCGAGTTGTAGTTGTAGTGATTGGTCAAACGCGCGTATGAATACTTGTTGCAGGATGTAAACAAAGATGGGGCATGCACGGACATTCGAGTGGATTTTTCAGATTCTTTAGTCGACTTTGGATGTGCGTGAGTGCTTTTATATCGTGTTTAGAACTCAAATTATGTTTTTTGAATGGATATTGTAGAAAGTGTTTTAATTGTTAAGTGGTTAATAGTTTTTCTTTCTAATTTTGGAGGGAAATTAACACTTTTGCTGGCGTATTAATATTTTTCCTGATTTTTCTCTATTATTTCATTGTATTGACCCGGTCTGCTTGGATTTTACCGAGGTGGCCTTGTCTCAAACAAGCGAAGCTCTTCTACACCCGTCTCGATACACTCACTCTTATTCAGTCTTCAACAGAACTAGTCTGAATCTGAATCAGTCCCGTTGAGTAACGACAACTGCAGTCAACCCTGCTTAGCCTTTAGTTTTAGCCTGGAAACGCCTTTAGCCTGCTACTGCTAGCTAGTCCGACTACATTACACAGTCATGATCAGCCAGTCAATGGAAACAAAACATTCTCCTGCCCCTGCCAAAATAATACATCACTCTTCTTACCACAATAACTCTGTAAAGCCGCAAAGCTTAACGTACAATTCATTTGCTTAGAAGCCAAAAGCAACGAAATATGCACAGCATAAGACAAATATTCGTCACCGCCACAAATATAGAAAATGCAGGGTATACTTTGGCGAACAACGGACCTGAAACCTGAAAGCTGAAAGCGACCAAACCTTGAGAGTTCACTTCCGCTTTGGGTAGAAGATGTAATGGTGATTTCAAAATGTATACACTTTCTGAACGAAACAAATCTGACTTGAAACTGAATCATAAGTTTAGCCTGGAAGCATATTAGAACAAAACGTACGACCCATTCACACCCCCCCCCCCCCCTAAAAAGGGGAGGAAAAGAAAAACAATTCACACCAAAAACAAGAAGAAAGCCCCGTTTATTTACAACTGTTTTCCAAACTTAAAATATTAAGTACCGGTACTACAATCTATCGTTTTTTCGCCTCTTTTCTGATAGAATATTATTACATGTAGGCCTAATACATGTACGGTCATCATTGGTTACAGCGATTTTAATGAAAACTTGGGGGTGCAGGGGGTGAGTCTATATCTTTTTCTGAGAATAAAACTTTTATTCTAAACAGACCTATCGCAGTCCTCAAGTTTTAAAGCTGGACCCGTCGTCAGCTCAGTTATGTTCAAGATAACCCCCTGACCTGCGTTCTCTGCAACTTCTTTCTTTTTTTTCTTTCTTTTTTGTTTGTTTGTTAGTTTGTTGTTGTCGTTGTTTTGTTGTTGTTGTTGTTGTTGTTGTTGCTGCTTGTAAGTGTTTTTGTTGTTTTTGTTGTTGTTGTTGTTTTTGTTGTTTGTAAGAGTTTTTCGGCGCTCGCTACTGCATAAGGTAAAATGAGCGCGAGGGGACACATTAAACATTTTCAGTTGATAGAAAATTTTGAATTTTGTCCGGCGGCCGAAGCCTACTTTATCGATTTTGGACCACTCCGGGATCTTTAATGGGCGCTACTTGCGCTCGAGACCTCCGTCGAGAATTTTCGTCCTTATCCGAGAAGGCTAGGTGTTCGATCTTACCTACCATAAGATCAGGGGTATTGTTGAAAGACAGCAGTAAGAGGAGCCAAAGAGTAGCAGTAGAAATTCTGCAGAAAGAGTCAGGCGCTCAAATAAGGAGGTGAGGGGGCGGGGGCTGAAAGAGAAGACGAAACAGACGACAAAACATTGTCAGAGAGCAGGAAAGGGTGTGAAAGGAGAAATATCGAAGAAGAAAATTTTCTGTCGCTATCCGGATTCGAACCCGGGGCCTATAGAATGAGAGGTAAAATTATATCTAGACCTCGAGAGCCCCTCCGCAACTTCGAGAAGCGTCGCCGGCAGCCATAATAACAATGACAATGATGATGATGATGATGATGATGAGGAGGAGGAGGAGGAGGAGGAGGAGGAGATGATGATGATGAGGAGGAGGAGGAGGAGGAGGAGGAGGAGGAGGAGGTGGAGGAGGAGGTGGAGGAAGAGGAAGCTTTCAATTCATATTCCCCGAAAGTAAGACTCCATATTCTTTCTTCCTCCAGAGACTTTTACCAATTTCGGCTTGCCATTCATACTGCATTTCGAATCTATGATGTCCCCCTTTTTATATTCAGGATCATTGCAAGGTTCACCTCTACAATCAAGCCTTTGGGGCTGGGGACTTAAGCCATCAACTTCACTCATGTGTAGGCCTATTCGTCTACATATCCGCCTATCAATAGGGCTTGCCTGCCTGCCCATTGTTGGTGTCCATAAAAGTACAAGTATTTTGACCATTGAAAAAAGATACAACTTTTTCACGGTTTGGCACCCGTCACTAGTTGTTTTTTTTCTCTTAATTTGTATTTAATTTTTTTTACGCGAATCAAAATAACAAGAGTTTGTCTTATGCTTTGCCTATTTCGTTGCTTTTGGCTTCTAAGCAAATGAATTGATATATTCGTGCAAAACCGCACCAAAGGTGAACCCCACAGAGACCAAAGTTTAAAAAAAGGAAATAAAAAGCACTAGCAGCTACTAACGAGTCAGCGATTCCCACTTTTATCTCCGACAAAATTGAAAGCCTACTTTTTTTGTCTCAGGGTCACTTTCACTACAGCATTGCACAGTTTGTTCTTGCAAAATTGGAGTAGATTTTCCAAACAAGGCAGTTATTGTAAAGTCACTATACAGGCTTTGTATGAAATTCTGGTCTTTTTTTCTACCAAAGCTGATTGATTGCTTGTACATAGATCTAGGTCTAGATCTAGATCTAGCTGTTGAGAAATAGACATGTAAATGTAATGAATATCATTATGACTCTCCCAGTCTCTGCCCCCCCCCCCCCCCCGCCCCCTATCCCTCAAAGGGAAAAAACGGGTAAAAAAAAAACAACTTATAAAAACCCACAACAAATTAAACTGTAATCAAACCAACCAAGTAACCCCCCCCCCCAAAAAAAAAAAAAAAAAAAACACAAAAAAAACAACAACAACTAACCAACCTAAAACCAACCCAAACAAACAACAACAACAACAACAAACAGAAAACCCCCCAAAGCAAAGCAAAACAAGACTAAAAAAAACCCCAAGACAAAACAACAAGAACAAAAAACAAACAAACCCAAGCAAACAAATAAACAAACAAAAATATATTGTAGGATTTCAATACGTGTAAATAATGAGTAAATGTTTCTTGGACTAAAAGTACAGGTATATATACCATGAAACTAAACATAACATCATACAGAAATCATTAACTGTGTAGGACTACTATATTTTATTATTATTGTCTGAGGAAAGTACATAATATATACAGGTATATATATTATATATATATATATATATATATATATATATATATATATATATATATATATATATATATATATATGTGTGTGTGTGTGTGTGTGTGTGTATGTGTGTGTGTGTGTGTGTGTGTGTGTGTGTGTGTGTGTGTGTGTGTGTGTATGTGTGTGTATTATAAATACATGTATATATAAATGACAGCGTGGCTGTGATAGTTGATTCGTCATCTCTTAAGGAATTCTGGGCGTTTGGTTTTTTTTCTGTAACTCTAGTCCACCGCTAACACGGCAAGAAAAAAAAGAAGAAAAGTTGCCATGTGCCGACCTAATCAATAGAAAGCATTTAAAAAAGAGTACATGTATAGTATAAATAAGCACAAAAAAGTGGCCTGCACAGCGACCACGAGCCACTGAAAATGCTTTGTATCTCATTTGAAAATGTTTTATTTCTTTAAATGAATTAATTGCTGAGCCTGATAATGAACTGCTTGCGAAATATTCAAGCAGGGGAAACTATAGACACCAAAGTAATAATTAGCTAATAAAGCGCATTTAAGGACTTGTGAACACCAAAAGCAGCCGAAAGGGATATCTAGAGTCCAGAGTTAAAAAAGAAGAGAAAATATTTCGAAATCCGAGAAAGATGAACATTTAAAATAACAGCTTGTGCGTTATTGCCAGTGTATTTTTTTTTATTCAGTAGTCATTGTTTGAGAAAAAAAAAAACATACTCCCCCACTTTTTTCCTTCTTGCCTTCTCTTATAGGAGGCACAACCGAAATGCCATGGCACCTCCAAGGAAAAATGCGTCGTCCAACAGCCATCAGCTGTCTGCTGTGACGAAGAAGAAAATTGAGTGGTTTCTTGGAAGTACAAACGAGTCGCTCACTCGCAGAGTGGGGGAATCTGCCAGGTGTGCACCGCGGATGGTTCATCTAGGCCACGATAGAACCTGTCAAAGGCGACCACTTTTTGTTGTTCAGGGGAAACGTTGTTTAAAGCTTATACCAAAGATTCTCCACTATGAGAATCTTTGCTTATACCGGGTGCGAATGGGATCGGGTCGGGTCGATTGCCCGACTATAAATATAAACTTTTTTTTTTTTTCAGGCGACGAGTCGGGCGCGATTGGCTTATGCCACGATAGCTGCTTTGCGCCCTCAATCTGGCGAGCAAACCGCTCCGACCAGACCCGATCCCCAGATGGGCACCCCATATTAGACTTGAATTCGAATGGCAGTGGGCACTCACTATAACACGTTTAACGAATGTGTACCTTAAGTATTATTTTTAGCTGAAAAGAAGAGTGGATACGCATTCGTTAAACATGATATATAGCGAATGCCCATTGCCTTTCGAATTCATTTGTTTAATTCAGGACGAGCAAGATTTTCCTTCATGTAGGGCGAAAGCTACCATTTTGGTACTATACAATGATTCGATACGCGACCTTGAAAAACAAATTCATTTGATTTTGAAGGTCACAGTCTAATTGAATCGAATGTAGGCGGTCGAACTGTGCCAACATCTTGGCGTTTACCCCATCGTTGCGTAATTCTCTCTCTCTCTCTCTCTCTCTCTCTCTCTCTCTCTCTCTCTCTCTCTCTCTCTCTCTCCTCCCCCTACGGATCGGGGTACTTGAAAGTATTGCACAATGCAATGCACAGTTAGTCTCTGACCATTCGACATTACGCAATTGCTCATGCTATCAGTTCCATTCACTTGTTAGTTTGAATGAAGGCTGCAGTTGTTGTTGCTGCTGCTGCTGCTGTTGTTGTGGTTATTGTTGTTGTTGTTGTTTTTGTTGTTGTCATCGTCGTTGATACTTTTGCTGTTGTTTTGGTTGCATTGTTGTTTTCGCTGCTGCTGCTGCAGCTGCTGTTGTTGCTGTTATTGATGATGCTGACGACGACGACGACGACGACGACGACGACGATGATGATGATGATGATGATGATGATGATGATGATGATGAGAGCTGCCTACATTTGTAGTCCTGGGTTCTCCGACAATCTCAGCTAAAACATTTGACATGCATTCCAATCTTAAGGTTTGCCTGTGGTCACTCTTTAACCGAGACTGCGCAGAAAGAGATGCCCGAAGCGGAACTTTCCTGGCAATTGAACCGACAAGCTCTCACTATGGATCCCAGGTATTAGAGGTCGACATAACGCTTCCTCAGAATTACAAAGTTCTATATGACACTTTTGGCCTTTTTGAGCTACTAAAATCGTGAGGTCAGAAACCAAATGTCCTATCTTCTCTTACTGATTTTGGTTGGAGAATATGCATCATTGCAGGCGGCACAATGAAATAGCTGCTCCTCCCTCCTCTCCAGGATCCATGAAAGGGTCTGCCTGCTGATCATGCCAGATGGTAGGATATTCTTCTGACTTTTCCAAGCAGGTTGCTGTCTCTCCCCGACCCTATAGAGACACCAGTTTCCCTTAGTCTATCCATTGTGTGTGAAATGGTACCTTCATTCTCTCTGTGGTCGTTGAACCATTCTGTCCATGCTGCCATGATTGTTGGTGGATCTAATTGCAAGGTGCACCAATCTCAGTCTGGCTGGCTAGCTTATCAGCACGTTCATTGCCTTGAACTCCTGCATGACCACGGCAAAAGATCTATACAATCCTTTTGAGTTTGCTCCTTTGTAATGCCTCTCGCCAGTCTGCATAAATCATGTGTTTCTTCACTTTTTCAAGGGTATTCATCTAGTCGGTAACGAGGATGGCAGACTGATAATCCGTCGTCTTGATCCAGTTAAAAGCTTCTGTAATGGTTTTTAACTCCATGCACATGCTTGACGCGGTTATACTAGTGGCACCTGACAGCTCTCTCTGTATGACCCCGTTTACACGTACTCAACCCTATCGAAGGCGTCCTCGAGGTGAAGCGCTGCTATCAGAGTCTCCTCACCTCTTTCAAACCCACCATAAACATCTGATGCAAGGACGGTAGCATTCATAAACGTTTCTTTCCCCCTTATATAGCTACCCAGAGTCTCTGGAAGTCATCATCATTGCCTTTCTCACACCGCACCAGGGTACAGGCCACGGACAAACACCTTCCACCTTTCTCTATCCTGGGCTAGCCTCTTGATGTTATTCCATGTCTTCCCACTTTTCTGTACATCGATTTCTGTGATTCTTGTCCAGGTTCTACGAGGTCTTTCCTTTGATGTCTTGCCCTGTGGGTTCCAATCCAAAACTTTCTTTGTTATGCAGCTGCCTGACTTCCTGAGAGTATGTCCAATCCATCGTCACCGCCTTCTTCCTGCCTCATCTCTGACTGGGATCTGTCTTGTTTTCCTTAACACTTCCACATTGGTGACCCTGTCTGTCCATCTGATCCTCAGTAGCTTTCTTAGACACCTGTTCAAGAAAACCTGGATCCTCTTTATGCAAGTATGTGATGCGTTCCATGTCTCACATCCATACAACAGGACCGACTTCACATTTGAATTGAAAATCCTCAGCTTTGTTCGAAGTGAGATCTCTCTGGTCTTCCAAATCCTATCCAAAGATATGAAAGCAGCCTGTGCTTTTCCAATGCGGGACTTTATTTCAGCACCTGTCCCTCCCTCTCTGTCAATTGTACTCCCAAGATAGCAGAAGGATTCAACGTTTTCTATTCCCTTCCCTTCTATTGTGACCTGCTCCTTTGGTTGTGCATCTGTCCCTGGGACCTTTGACTTTCCGGGGTGGATTCTCAATCCAACAGACTCCGATAGGCTGTTTAATACTGAAGTGTTTGCTTGCATCTGTTGCTGGGTGTGTGACAGAAGCGCCAAGTCGTCTGTAAAATCCAGATCGTCCAACTGTGTCCATGGTGTCCACTGTATACCATTTCTGTGTCCTTTGGTGGTTTCCTTCATCAGCCAGTCGACTGCCAATATGAAGAGGAACGGTGATAGTAAGCATCCATGTCTCACTCCAGTCTTGATGTCAAAGCTGTCAGTGAGCTGGCCATCATGTACAACCCTGCAACTTGTCCCTTCGTACATGCTCTTGATGAGGTTCACCAACTTCTGTGGGATTCCGTGGTGTCTCATTATCTTCCATAGTGTCGCTCGGTCTATACTGTCAAAGGCCTTCTCATAGTAAAGAAAGTTGACAATCAGCTGGGAGTTTCACACCAGGGACTGTTCCACAATAATCCTCAGCGTGGCAGTCTGGTCGGTGGTTGCGCGATTTTTCCGGAAACCAGCCTGTTCATCCCGTAGTCTTGGATCCTTTCCTGTCTCGATTCTCTCCAGAATGATTCTGTTGAAGACATTTCCTGGTATTGAGAGAAGAATGATCCCTCCGTAGTTGCTGCAGTTGCTGCAGTTGCTGAGATCCCCCTTTTTTGGAAGCTTCACGAGGTGTCCTTCTTTCCAATCCTTTGGGAACTTGCTCTCATTCCAGATCCTGGTAAACAGTGGGAGGAAGATGTCTGCCGTCACACTGGCATATGCTTTTAGGGCTTCATGTGGAATCTGGTCGGGACCAGCCGCTTTACCTTTGTTCAGCTTCTTAATGGCACTCAGAATCTCTTGTTTTGAAGGAGCATCACAGCAGATAGGTAACTCATTTCTTGCTTGCAGTATGTTTGGTGGGTTACTCGGTGGTGGTCTGTTCAGGAGACTGTTGAAATGCTCTACCCATCGTTTAGTCTGAGCTTCCTTTCAAAAAATGCTTTTCCCTTCTTGGTCCTTTACACCTTTACAGGTACTTCAGGTTTCCCATATTTTCCAGCAAGTGTCCTTGCGGTCTGGTAAAGGATTCGCATGTGCTCTCCTACCGCTGCTTCCTCTGCCTTCTCCGCTAGCCTGTTCATGAATTCCTCCTTGTCTTTTCTTATTGATTTCTTGACATCTTTAGCTGTTGTCCTGTACTGCTCCAATGCATCCGCTCTTGATCCTCTTGTTCTACTTGCATTCGCTTCTGCCTCCAGCTGTCTTTTTGTCCTAATTAAATCAAATGAGTGTTGGATAATCAATTCCTTGTGTTCCCATTTCTTCACACCGAGTACTTCTTGACATGTTGATGTAAAGACTTCTTTGACCTGGGTCCAGTGTGTATCCGCCTCCGTGTCCTCTCCGCCAAGATCAGCCAGAGGTTGAAATCTGTTCCTCAGCTGCAGCTTAAACTCTTCTTTCTTGTGTCCGTCCAAGAGACATACTTGGAACTTGGTTCTTTTGATTCCTATGCTGGTTCCGTGCTTTTTGAGTCGAAACTTGAGTTTTGCCAACAGCAAATGATGATCCGATCCAACATCTGCCCCTCTCTGTACTTTGACATCTTCCAGTGAACGCCTGAACTTACGAGAGATACAAAAATGATTTATCTGGTTCTTCGTCACTCCATCTGGCGAAACTCATGTGGCCTTATGGATCTTCTTGTGGGGAAAAACAGAGCCTCCAATAACAAAACTGTTGAAAGCACAGATATTTGCGATATTTTCTCATTCATTTGTCCCAAGCCATGTTGTCCCATAATTCTTTCATATCCCACGTTGTCCTGACCAATCTTGGCACTGGCATCTCCCATTATGATGTTGACAT